TCAGCTTTCCCTTTGGTCCTGCACTGGAGTGCAGATGGGCCTGGGGTGGATGGGGCAGTGACTCACCTGTTTCCATCTGCATTAGTCTCTGGATTTTTTTTTTTTTTCCACCAACTGGCAGAGCTTCCTCCCTTTCTGATTTTGCCTTCTTTTCTGATTCACTCCCCATCTGTTACTAGTTTCTGCTTTCTGAGGGTGTGGATGATACAGAAGGGAGGTGCAAGCTGTGGGGGTTGGGAAGGTAGGAACAGAAGTGCAGTAGTCCCTAGGGACACATTACTCTGAGCATTCTGTGCACCAGGGTGTCCTCTGTGACTGACAACCTGTCCTTGCCCTCACAGAGAGGGTATGTATTGTGGAGGGGAGCAGGTACAGGCAGGTGGGAGCTCTGTCAGGTATTGGTAAGGACATTAAAAGAGATGTGGAAAAGAGTGTCCTTGAGGACAGTGAGGACAGGAAAGGCCTCAGTCCTGGGAAAGAGGCAGCTGAAGATTAGGAGGAGTGTCTCAAGTGGGGAAACTGCATGCCTTCAAATGCCATGGACTGCCTGTGTTCAAATAAGTGAGAGGGCCACTGTGGGGCTGGGATGCAGTTCAGTGGCAAGTTGGGGGCGGGGAGAGGCCAATGTGAGGCAGCAGAGGGACAGAAAGAAACCAAGTCAAGAGGTCAGGTAGACTGAAGAGAAGTTCAAGTTTTATCCTAAGGACCTGTGGGGCATTAGAAGACTTAATACTAGGGCATCAGGTCAGGAAGTGGGAAGACCACCAGGAAGCTCTGGCTGTAACAGAGCCCTATGAGGATGTCAAGACCAAGCAGGAGTACGGAGAAGAGGGATGGGTTCAGTTTTGTTTTGTTTGTTTTTTGAGACAGGGTTTCTCTGTGTAACCTTGGCTGTCCTGGACTCACTTTGTAGACCATGCTGGCTTTGAACTCACAGCAATCCATCTGCTTCTGCCTCCCTGAGTTGCCGGGATTACAGGTATGTGCCGGCTGTGCCTTTTTTTTTTTTTTTTTTTAATTGCTTCCTGAGACAGTATCTAATAAGATGGATTAGAACTCGCTGTGCAGCCCAGGCCAGTCTCAAACTCAGAACACTTCTTGCCTAGCCTGTCCAGGTATTAGCATTATATGGGCATTAAAAATGTATTTATGGGACTGGAGGGACGGCTCAGCAGTTAAGAGCATTGGCTACTCTTCCAGAAGACCCTGGTTCAATTCCCAGCATCCACATGGCAGCTCACAACTGTCTGGTCTGTAACTCAAATTCCAGTGGATCTGACTTCTTCACACAGACATATATGTATGCCAAACACCAAATATACATAAAAATAAATAAAAATAAAATGTATTTATAGGAGCTGGAGAAGATCCTATGTCAAACAAAATCAGATAGATACACTTAAAACATTCAAGTCTCCATCCTCCTCCTTCCAAAGATACGGCCTGAGATCACCTGCTAACGTGCATACAGTCTCCTGACAGACGCCCCTTCAGAGAATTTGGCTTTTCCATTGTTCAGCTTCCCTTTTCATTCAAATAAACAAAATACTCTCCTAACAAAATCAGTTATCAGAACACAAGCATGATGGAAGGTCGGACAAAACTAGATTGGGCACCAAGTATCTTTTTATCCCTTTGTGGCTGTGTTTGGTGGGGTTCCTAGGGGATGAAGCTAGCACTTCACACACACGCTAGACACATGCTCTACCATCGGGGTCCTCTGCTACTTTTTATTTTCAAACAGACTTTTCTCAGGTTACCCAGACTGGCCTTGAACTCACTGTGTAACTCAGACTGACTTGAATTTGTGATTTTTATGCCTCAGTCTCCCTAGCAGCAGAGATTGTGGGCGAGCACCACTGAGCTGGACTGTAAAGCACTTTCTTAGCTTGCACCAGACACTGGGTTTGGATCCCAGCCCCACAAAACCAAGTTGAAACTAACACCTCTTCAATGCTTAAGAAACACTGTTTAGTGAATATATATATATATATATATATATATATATATATATAATCATTCAGAATTGTGTATTTATAAAAAATCATGAAGTTAGACAAGGAAAATTAATAGAAAAATATTGGAAGGAAGTATGTCAGTTATAAATAGAAGTACAGTGTTTTTCCATCCTTTATGCATTCTGCAGTTTTCCACAGTGAACATTTAGTTACAGGAAGAATGATTAAGTGGTGATGGTGGGGGCAGTCTTTCACATCACTTTCCTCCTAAAGCCAAAATAGTCATCTTGTTACCTTGTTTTATTGTTCCCTTCATTGCTGCTAAATAAATAAATGAGAGTTGTCTCTACTCAGTGTTTTCTGCACATGCTCCATTTGCTGCCACCTAGCCTCCTGCCCAGCCTCAGAAAGGACTCCACCCCAGCGGGATCAGCTCTCAGATGCTGAACCCAATGGCCGCTCCTTTTCCCTATTCCAGTTGTCTGCATCTCTGATATTGTCGACTGTGGAATTCCTCTCTCCCTCTGCCCAAGAACCCACACTTCCCAACAGGTTGGCCACTGAGGGTTCCTTAAGCCTTGGTGCTAAGTCTGGGCACCTGCCTCCCACCCTCTTTCTGTTATGCTCATTCTTTTCAGGTGATGCTGTTTGCTTTTGACTTTGGTGGTCCCATAGATAGATCCCATATCCCACACACTAAATAAATCTTAAAAACAAGCAAAAGACTAGAGGCTGGTGATATCGCTCAATTGGTAGAATGCTTGGCTAGCATTTGCAAAGCCCTGGGTCCACCTGCAAGCACCTCAGAACCCGGGCATGATGTGTTGGTGTGTAATCCAGCACTTGAAAGGCAGAGGCAGGAGGGGCAGGAATTCCAGGTCATCATCTACGATAGTGTTGGTTAACACAGTACTGAGTCCTCTTTTACTGAGCACAGTGGAGCAAGAAACCGCAAAGATGTTAGGGTTAAGGGAGGTGTGACCCGGCCATGTTCTCAGGCTGCTAACACCAAGTCTGGAATTCTGGTTCTCTCATGTGGCAATCTAGTTCTGTAGTTTGATTCCTGTCCACGGGTGGGGTGAGCTAAAGATCTTATTTCTTATTTTTAAATGTGTGTGTGTGTGTTTGTGTGAATGCAGGTGTCACTCTGGAGGCCAGAATAGAAGTTGGATCCCCTAGAGAAAGAGTTATAGGTGATAAGGAGCCACCCACATGAACGCTGGGAACCCACTCAGGTCCTCAGCAAGAACAGAATTTTTCCTGCTTGCTTTCAAATAAAAAAAAAAATCCTGTTAAAACCCGCTCACATACTTATATATCTTTAAAAAACGACATTTATTTAGTGTGAGTGACCCACTTACCTCCTCACACCCATCATCTCTTCTTTTTGCTTGATTTTTTGAGACAAGGTCTCACTCTGCAGCCTTGTCTGGCCTAAAACCCATTATGTAGACCAGGCTGTCCAGGGATTAATGGGGTGTACCACCACGCCCAGATGTTCATGTTTAATGATGAGAATGAAAGGTAGAATAACATTGCTCTCTAAACCAAAAGCATCTTCGCCAAGGCCTGACCACACTGTTTTAAAGGATATATATATATCCTTTATATATATATATTTATATATATATATATATATATATTTTTTTTTAAGATTTACTTATTATGTATAGTGTTCTACCTGCATGTGTGACTGCATGCCAGAAGAGGGCACCAGGTCTCATTGTAGATGGTTATGAGCCACCATGTGGTTGCTGGGAATTGAACTCAGCATCTTTGGAAGAAGTCAGTGCTCTTAACCTCTGAGCCATCTCTCCAGCCCCACGACACTGTTTTAATGCTTGTTAATTAATATTACTGCCTCCCCCAAACTTCTCTACGTACTTTTCAAGTATTATTTCATTGTATATTGTCGATATATTCCCTACAGAAAATAAGAGGCTTAGAGTTCGCAAGTCACTCTACAATTGTACACTTTCCAAGGAAGTCCAAACTTGAACCCAGAACCCGCACAAGCAGGAAAGCCTGGGTCTTCAAAGAGCCATGGTTTGGACGCAGGAAGGGGTTACTGATTTGTGCTCAGCCACAGCTTTTTATTCTACTTTGGTAACCTGATAAAGTGCAAGCGCCGGTACAGAATGTGGGGAGAGAAAAGCCCTCCAGAAGGGCCAAGACGAGCTGATCTCTGCATCTAAGCCTTATTCAGTGCCTGGGATCTCCCACGAGTTCTCTGACACCCCCTCTCAACGGCCGAAAACCTACGCTCACGGGCCGCCCGAATCGCTCGGCTGAGCGGCCCACAATAGGGACGCGTCCCCTTTAAGGCGGCGGCTCGCCCTCGGCGGCGGCCGGAAGTGTTGGAGCCCGGCTTGGCGGCGGCGGTGGCGGCGGTAGCCGTGGCGGCTTGTGCGCATGCTCCGTCGCCCGCCCGCCCTGGCCGCTCGCCGCCCGCCCGCCCGACGGAGACGGTGAGGAGGGGGAGGGGTGGGCGCGCGGCG